TATTTATTATATTTATTATTATTATTATTCAACAAAGCAATATACAGTAGCATATGTTATACAATGATACACAGGAAGAAACAAATTTTTCTTCAATTTACCAATTAATTAATATACATACACCGTAAGAATTAACATAAATCTCAAAAATCAAGAAGAAGAGCAACCCCACAGTCGAAATTCTTTCTCAAATTTCATTAATTAAATTAAATAACCAGAACAGATGAAAAATTCATCAACATAACGATCTTACGATCATCCTAACCTCGACTCGAGGAAGATAGCGCCCTCTTTCTGCGCTCTGTCGATCCAAGATGGAGTCAGGATCCTCGAGTCTTATTTCCAACTGACGAAGCATTACGTGATTCGTTTCTAGAAAATTAAACGAGGTAATAGTTCTAGATGCCAGAAACCATCAATTACTCATTGGAACGAAGGGATAAAGTGTACCTACAGATTCATCCTTATTAATTGCTAGTCGCATTCATGACTAATTCCCTTTGTGTCGTTTAATTTCTTCTCCAGACAGACCGTTGAATCTCGAATAAAGCGTTCATATTGGAACAAATGAATCGTTTCCATGGATCGAAAGAAATTGTAACATCGACGGGAAATTAATGAAGGTATTTGATTTGAAGAAGACAAGGCGGGTCTATCAAAGGGATATCTTTGAAGTATTCAAAATTCCACAGTAATGAAGTAAATAAATTACCAGAATAATATTGAAAATTGATTAACACTAGAACTACCGATCTTTAATGGGTATCTAACTATAACGTGCACAAATTATAGTAATTTCAGCGGTACGATGAAAGTGAGTGAATATATTGATTATAGTTCTTTCTTAATATGAGTTGATACCAATTTTATTCTTAAAGCAGGTGTATGTGTTCGGTGATTGCAAAAAGGAAAATTCTGGGACCAGTCATTTCGACTGGGTTGGTAGTTCTAGTGTTAATAAAAATTCCAATTAAAAACACCCACTTCTATTTCTTCAAGGAAATAAATATTTAAACATATTTCAAATAAAATTATTCCATCGTTGAAATTTTTCTGATTAAAGAAAAGCATTTCTAATATTGTATAGCAATAAAGTTCATTATTATTAATTTTTTCGAATTTATAATTACCTTTAATTAAAAGATAAATAATTTATCTGTTTGAAATGCTCGAAATTGTTCAGTCTTATAAATCTCTCAATTTTCTTTCGATTCATTTTATAATTAATTAATTGAAAAATTAAAAATTGAATTAATTTTTTGGTAAAATTTAGATAATGAATTACAATTAGTAGGAAAGTGATTGTTAAATGTTTTGTAGAAGATATTGAAATTTGACATTTAATTTAGTTAATTATTCCTGAAAATGATTTATAAACTTAAGAATATTTATTTACAATAATGTTTATTTTGCAGAGTCAGGACTGAATTAAATAAAAATTAAGCATACCTAAGTTTGTGTTGATAGCCTCTGAAAGGATAATTTATTTTTGTCACAGATTATACACTACGCAGAAGACGTCCTATGACACTTCGAATCGGTCCACGTTTGAGCCTTCCAAATAAGAGCACATCAGCCCCAACGACCACCACCGACGGAGATTGGCCAGTATTGAGGTAAGTAATGGTTCCAGTCACTTCTGTCTTCATATAGAACCAACCATACGCTCGAAGACTGATCCATTTCGATTCGAAGTGTCAAAAGAAAGCATTACGGATATTTTCTTCCCTCTAGAAGAGTGTTTTTCACTGTTCGACAATTGATGGATCACGTTTCATAACTCTGAGTCCCATAGCGTTACCTATGGTCTCGACAGTCAAGAAATGTATAGGATATGTATAGTATAATAATACGAATAGCTAAATACGAGTAATAAAAAGATTCTTTAGAAGATTGAAAACGATCTCCAATATAAAGCATTAGTAAATAATTTGTATTTATTTTAAGATTACAATGTTTGATGCTTTTACATAGAAAATTCATACAGTAATATACTTTGAACTGTATACTATGCACAATGTTCTTATACTTTAATTTACAATAAAAATGATAGAAATTCCTATTTTACCTTTGATCGATATAATTACAGAGTTCCTCCGAGGATAACATGTTTCTCAGTACAACGTTTTCTGTAATATCGACACACTCTTTACCGTTACAGGATAATCTGCGCTAAGCTTACCAACTGATGATACATTAACTACAGAAGGAAAGTATCTATTTTACCGTCAGTGGAGACGAAGCTACCTGATTTTTCAACAGTCGATCAAACATTTAAGAAGAATTTAAGTATAATAATTATAAACTTACACAATTTTTGAAGCACATCATGTGATTTATAACATCCAATTAACAACAGCCTTTAAACATCAATTTTATCATCAGTTGGCAAAAAGCTACCTGATTTAGCCGCAGTCGATCAAACATTTCAAAAAAATTTAAGTAGAATATCTACAAAATAACATATCCCTTGGAATATATCACGCTATTTGTAATATCGCATTAACAGCAGCTTCGAAATATTAATTTTACCATCAGTTGGCAAGAAACTATCTGATTTAGCGGCAGTCGATCAAAAATTTCAGATAAATTTAAGTAAAATAGGTACAAAATAACGCATCCTTCCAAACATTTTGCGCAACATATAATATCACATCAACAACAGAGTTGATGTACCAATTTTATCATCAGGTGGTATAAAGTTACCTGATTTACTTACAGTCGATAACTCCTTTATGAAAATTCAAAATATAATAATTATATAGAATTCCCTATTTAGACCATTTTGTGCGATTTATAACATCCAATTTACAATAGCTATGTAATATTAATTTTATCATCAGTTGGCTCATAGATACCTGATTTATCGGCAGTCGATCAAACATTTCAGAATAGATAAATTTAAGTAAAATAGGTACAAAATAACGCATCCTTCCAAACATTTTGCGCAACATATAATATCACATCAACAACAGAGTTGATGTACCAATTTTATCATCAGGTGGTATAAAGTTACCTGATTTACTTACAGTCGATAACTCCTTTATGAGAATGCAAAATATAATAATTATATAGAATACCCTATTTAGACCATTTTGTGCGATTTATAACATCCAATTTACAACAGCTATGTAATATTAATTTTATCATCAGTTGGCACAAAGCTACCTGATTTGGTGGCAGTCGATTAAACATTTCAAAAGAATTTGAGTAGAATAGCTACATAATAATGCATCCTTTGAAACATTTGGTGCAATTTATAGTATCACATTGAAAACAGGCTTGAAGTTTCAATTTTATCGTCAGTTGATATACAGTTACCTGATTTTTTGCAGTCGATAATTCCCTCATGAAGATTCTAAATATAATAATTATAAATAATGCCCTATTTGGAGTATTTCGTGCGATTTATAACATCCTATTAACATCAGCTATGAAATATGAATTTTATCATCAGTTGGCACAAAGCTATCTGATTTAGTGGCAGTCGATCAAACATTTCAAATGATTTTAAGTAGAATAGCTACAAAATAATGCTTCCTTTGAAACATTTGGTGCTGTTTATAATATCACATTAAAAACAGACTTGAAGTATCAGTTTTACCCTCAGTTGATATACAGCTACCTGATTTATTTGCAGTCGATTACTTACCTACGAAGTTTCTAAAAATGGTAATGATAAATACCGCACTATTTGAACCATTTCGTGAGATTTATAGCATCACACTAACATCAAGAATATCGCATTCTGTCAGTCAAAATGATTCATAACAGCTACTTAACCTCCTTAAAAGAAAAAGAGACAGCGGATTCTATTGTTCTCAGGAACCAATCAGTTCCGCAACAACAAATTTCCCTTCACACTTTCCCAACTTTTCGCGTCTCGAATTTTCCTTTCACCCCCACCAACGAGCTTCCTCGGCCGGCTGCATGAGGTCGTCGCGACGTGTGGCGTCGCGACGCCGCCACCCCTCGTGGTTCCCCCGTTTCGCAGGTTTTGTTGTGACCGCGACGGCTTTGTCGACAGTCGCGCGTGATTGCGGCCGAGCAGTGCGGACTTACGATCGCTCCGGTTTCAAACAATCGCGTGTGCCGTGTCTTCGATCTCGCTCCAACCCCTCAGGCCGATCGTTCCAACCCCCTTTCCGCCTCGCTCGAACCGGCACGCTCGTTCTCCACCACCACCAGTCCCTTTTCCACCACGGTCCCTCACCTTTCCTCCACACTCGTCTCTCGTCAAACTAGACCTTCTTCATCCCTCGGATAAGCCGGGTACCTCTCTAACCGGGTCAGCAGTTCGGTTACTTTGCCGAGTGTCTTCGACTCAGACAGACACGTGTCAGTCACAGGCGTCATCTGACCTTTATGCAAACCCGATTACGTCGGTTCATGCACCCGGAGAAGCCAGTCTGCGATGATGACACCTCGGTCTAACTTGGTATCAGACACTAGGCTAGTGCTATCAGAGGTGACGAGGTGGTTCACACCTGGGCTTCTATGGTGATGTGTCAGTGCTGAGGCTATGAGGACTTCGAGTGACAGAGACCCCGAAGAAGGCTTCTAGTGTCGATGGACTAGCTTCCACGTGGCGACAGACCTGATCAGAGCAACAAACACTGGTGACTGGTATGAGCAAACGTGTTTTGAAGACTGGACGAGAAGAAGGATCGATTTTGGATGGTCCTAATGGTGGTCAGAGCAACAAATACTGGTGACTGGTATGAGCAAACGTGTTTTAAAGACTGGACTAGAAGAAGGATCGATTTTGGACGGTCCTAATGGTGGTCAGAGCAACAAATACTGGTGACTGGTATGAGCAAACGTGTTTTGAAGACTGGACTAGAGGAAGGATCGATTTTGGACGGTCCTATTGGTGATCTAGTGTGCATTGTGAGGTTCTCTCGAGGTGATAGACCTGTTCCTCAGAAAGAGACGTTGAGTGCAGACCTGGTTGGACTTAGTTAGAGGTCTGACGGGTAATTGATCGGGGTAAGTGATCGTGGATCACTGTTCTGCTAGATGGTGTCTCGAAGATGAGGGCAACGAACCTCGTATCGGATAAAGGGCGGTGAAAGCAGTGCTCTGTTGATTTCGAGAATCTGCTCAGCAGTTGGGAGCGAGGAAGAGGATTCACGTAGGTAAATCACATGTCCAAGTGGAAGATTTCGGTGTCCTCGTAGCGATATGTTGGAGCAATCGAGTTTGCTTTAATAGTTCCTAATTCAGAGGTCCATGCTCTTTGAAGCAACCTGTTGATGGTCAAAGGACGAGCATCAGAGATGGAATTAAAGTTCCAGATGGTTTCAGAGGTAGAAATCGATTGTGGGATAAATTTACTAGGAGTTGAAAAGAATTCTGTATTTTTGGCAATTTTGTGAAGAAATGTCAAAGTGAACTTCTATTTTTAAAAAGTTGCAATTCTTTCGATTATATCTAGAGTTTCTCCTCGATTTTTGGATATGTTAATCGTGGACGAGCGGAGATAATGTATTATAATTAATTAATTTATATTGTAATTAATTAATTGGAATATTTTAATCAAGTTACCCCATGGTATTAAAGTCATCGCGGTATAGGATATTTAGGACTCATGCGAGTGTTATGTGCTACATTTTGGGTTATTTTTGATAGAAATCGTGTGGGTAGTTGAACCGTGTTGTACGAGGGTTTTGGAAATTTTTGACCGTGTTATACGAGGGCCTTAGAAATTTTGAACCGTATCAAACGATTATTCGTTTCAATTATTATCGATTGTTATATTTCATAAATTTCACAAATTTTAACCCTATTATACCATAATTCATTTCACTTCGTAAAGGAAATTTCATTGACCCTTTGCACTCCTTTATCGAGTGCGACTCGACATCAGATTTTATCACAGGAATTCCTATGTCCAGTTACACTCGACGTTCTTTGTTTCTTCATTTACTGAACAAGAAAACAGAAAATAAGTAACTACTCGAATTACTTAAATTCAAAATATATATTACAACAATGATTGACAGCTACATTTAATATAATTAGTAAATAAAATTATTTAAAATAAGTAACATTCAAGGAACCTTCCTGTGAAGTAAATTTCAAATAAAATACTTAACATAGTAGGGAATTATTGGCAACAGAATTGCAAAATAATTTGGAGTGCAAAGGGTTAATATTTATTATTAATTTATTTGTAATTTTTATTTCTGTCAAATTTCTGAAACTATATTTTATATATAATAGGTATTTGTTAAGATATTGACAATAAATATTCAAATTAATAAAAAAACGTAGTAAATGACAATGATTCTTAGTAATTATTCGATTCAGAACGAAGATTAATATTCATAATTGCTTTTTGATTCACACTGTGTATAAAACAGGAAGGAAAAATAGTAAAGGATTAAATATCTCAGCTGTGAAGATACTGTAGACTAATGAGCTGAAAGCCCAGAATTCTTTTCTACATTTAACAGGAAATTCCATTTCCCTTTCACATCCTTCTTGGAATATGTTCAGCAAATTAGCTCCTTTACCACTTCTCCTGCCTCAGTGCTTTTTAACACGTTCACTCTCGAATCTGAGTCGACACGTAGTTTTATGATACTTCTACGAATTTTTATGATGTACATTT